AAAAAAAAGTTGGCTCCCGCCTCTTTCTTTCATTATTTTTTACAAAAAGGTCAGCAGAAACGGATATTATTTCAAACAGGACCCGACGTATTTCCCAGTCGAAGGCATGGGTTAACATTATATTTGTATTATTATTGGTGTAAATAGAAAGCCAATGGGATTTGTATAACCGGTGCTGTCTGCGGTCAACCCTCTTGGATTCTAATGTTTTGCACTTGAGTTTCCTTCAAACGTAGACATCTCAATAAATATTATTTTGCTTCATTTTTTTTAAATGCTTGGTAATAGACAGACTGAGTTGGTGTTAAATATTTAGGAAGCTTTATTTTATTTATGGGATATATTTAATTCTGCAATTTTTCTTTGATTCCTGAACATTTAGCATTAAAGTGTATAACATCATAAAATGTGCATTTTGTGTTTCTTTAATAGATTAAGTAAACTCTGGATGCTGTGTTGTGCAATAGGCAAACAGAGGACAAAGGACTAGCCGCCAGCATTGACTGTGATCTGCCTACAGATGATCTGTTCCCCATTAGTGACTTACATTGCCTTGTTCTGCACTGTATCTCTGTGTGGCAGAGGATATCTTAGTAGAGGCAGGGCTTTCCTTCCACATGTCGAAGCCTCCAAAATGGAGAAAAGTGTAGAGACATCACCAAATCTTATTCCAAATTTCTAGAGAATAAATGTCTGAGGCAGCAGTGCCTCTCACACTGCAGTTATACAGCTTTAATGCTGTAGGCACAGGAGTGCCTAAGCACACTTGCATTCTAGGAAGTACACTGTAGCTTTTCTTCTTAACTGCAAATAACATTTCAAAATGTTCCCATAACAAAACAAATATTTACTTTTTGAGGTCATGTCCACTTTAAGACTATACTTTTACTGCATTCGATCTAGAGCAGGAGTGGGCAACTCCGGCCCTCCATCTGGGCTTTAACTACAAATCCCAACAATGCCTCATGGGATTCCACAACAGCTGGAGGGCAAGAGTTGGAAAGGCTGAAAAAAATTACCTTGGAGAAATCTAATAATGGACAGAATACTACGATAGGATGCGTTTGCACTTTGTTAGGACTTATGATGTCATATGGGAAAGATGCAGCACTTTAACAATGTTGTCTATCTGAATCATGATCAAGCCAACATTTTTAGACAACAATGTACACCAGCTTTGCTCTTGGAGTTCTAGAGACCTGGCTCATTTAATTATTGGGTGATTATCTGACGGATCTCACTGTGCGGAGCTCGTCCGGTTCTTGATAAACCAGCTGAAATTTGCACAGTGTATTTCGGCACCCTTTCAGCCGCATCCCTCGATCGGCTGATTGAAGCAGCCAGTTGCACAATCTTCGAACGAACAAATGAGCTGCCAGTTCTGTTCGGAATTCTGACGGTGGCCATCAGCATATTTCCATGTATTCCAGTACATTCCAGACCAGAGAAAATTAGATAAGCAGTATTTTTTTTGTCTGATCTGGAAGGGACTGCGATGTTGTGAACAGGGCCCAAAAATACCATAGGGATACATTGGGATGCTTTTTGGTCCGGGAACAAACTGTTCTGCTCTGGACATGATCCGGACATAGTGTGAACAAGCCCTTAGGGCCCAGTCACACATCAAGAGTGCGTTCCAGTGCGTTCAGCCTCTGCAATGCACTGGAAAGCAACCCGGCCGGCTCACTTTGTTTTGAGGCAGGAAGGGGTGTGGCGGTGCATTGAACTCAATGGCACCCGAACATGTGTCACATTAGTGCTTGCGTTCTAGTCTAGTTCTAGATAAAAACACCAGACTTTTGAGAAAATCCTTTACTTGAAAAAAAAACAAAAGACAAGTTTTTAACAAGTCTTTTATTTAAAAAAGAAGCCTCAAAAAATGGATCCACTGACATAATCCAAGGTCAATCACGACGTTCAGCGTTGTCCACGACGATGACTCGACGAAATAAAAAATAAAACAATAAAAAATAAATAGAAATAATGGGGGGAAAACTATGCCCACCAACCCATCCGCGCGTGGCGATCTCCCGCCGCAGAATGGCATTCTGACAGTTGCCAGCGAAATACAAAAAGTGAAAGCTAGCTAGCTCCGCCCAACTGTTTACAGTTGAACGGCACCTGACAGGTGAGCCATGTCAGGTGCCGTACTGGGCATAATGACTGGTCACAGTGACTTTGCCCAATCATGTCTCTTCAGTGCACTGTGATTGGGCAAAGTCTTGCACCTGACCTGTGGTTAGGCCAATCAGGGGTGCTCCATGGACGAACAGCCCGCCAAATGCCCTGATAGTATGTGTGTTCACCGAACACACGAAGTAGCGATGTTTGAGTCAAACTCTTGGTCAACTCAAACATCGAGCCCAACACTATTCTTTACCTCTTGCCGTCATCACAATATTCAAGGCATTTGAGGCAATTCATGGATCTATCCTCTATAACCATGGAGGAATATAAATAAATAACTTGCTTCCATTACACACACGGGTGGTTCCTTCATCAGATGTATTGATTGATGTTTACTAAATGAAAACACACATCCAATACTTTATTGCTCGCTGTTCGCATAATTACAGAATAATTAAGCAGGGTTTATGGCAGATGAAATTTGATGTTTTAATTCCCGGAATTGAACACGCACGTCGCTATAAGGAAATTTATTTTTGTAACTGATGATAACGCAAGCAAAGGTTATGTTCAGAATTGTTGATTTATTTAGAATATTCCGAAAACCTGCATCCTTGGTGCACAGTTTGACTTACAAAGGTGTTTCTCCTTCAAACTCAGTGCAATGGGGGTTGTACTTCTTGCACTCTACTAATCAGTGGTCCTGCAGCACAGTGGCTTGGTGGTTATAACTTCTGACTTGTAGCATTGGGGAGCCCCTGGTGCGAATCCTGGTCAGAACACTATCTGCAAGAAGTTTGCATGTTCTCCCAGTGCTTGCATGGGTTTCCTCCCACACTCCAAAGACATGCTGGAAGGTTAATTGATTGGTCCTGTATACATGTGCAATAGGAATCTTAGATTGTAAGCTCCTTGAGGAGAGGGACTGATGTGAATGTTCAGTATGTAAAGCATTGTGTAAAATTGTTGGGGCTATATAAATATTTATTATTATGATACAGGATTTATATAGCGCCAACAGTTTGTGCAGCGCTTTACAATATAAGGAAGACATTACAATCACAATACAATTCAAGACAAGACGGCAAGGAGGGCCCTGCCCGTGAGGGCTTACAATCTAAAAGGGAGGGGGAAGTGATACATGAGGAGGTAGCTGTGTGGGGATGAATTGTTTTATAATAATAAATACACCTTTCATATATGAGAGCTTCTTTACCTACTAAAGGATTTGTATTTCTGTCCACCAACCCTGAGATGTACACAGGGCAGGGCTTTTAGGTCTTGTCCCTCCCCGAGTCTGTGGCTGGACAGTGAAATAAGGAGCAGCAAACCAATAAGCTCAACTCTCTGTCACTCTGCTCTCTTCTCTTATTAGCATGCTCCTTGCATTGCAGCACAAGTAATTGGCAGATTTTGCTGCTTGTCCCTCCCCAGTCGGAGCTCTGCAGTACAAGGACTGCAAAAGGACTAAGTCAGATCACATTCAAATAATTAAAATGCTTTCATTAAATAAAAATACATTTAATTATGTGTTATTGAATACAGAGCTGCATTAATTTGTGTATTTTATATTTGCTTGGATTTCAACGTTAGTCCCCCGTTCACATGCAGCTAGGCGCTTTGACACCTAAAGCTAAGCACGATAAAATGTTGAAGACATTCAGGCCTACACCTGAACCCAACGAAATCAAAAGCCCTAAACATTACACTGTCCTTGCAACTGGTCAACCAACT